GAAGAATATTTGCATGATGTTGACCTAAAATGCAAATAAAGTTTATTTTCATCTATGCATACCCAGATGTTAGCTTCCTGTCACTGAACCTGTAATAATATAGTTTAATGGGATACGGTTCATAATATCTGCAGATAAAGGACAATTTAAAAATTTCTTTGGAGAACAGAACAGGACATTATAATCAGGCCAACAGTATATTTTTAATTTTCAACTTTTTTAGTATGTGCATGTTATTTTTAACCAGTTGTGAAACCATCACAAGTTCTCCCAACCCCTCTCCCCTCTGTTGTCACTTGACTTTCTGTACAAGTGTTCCCTGTCAGTGTGCAAGTGCCACTTAAAGCTCAGAGGAACATATTGCAATCAGTTTGATGTCTCGGCACTTGATTGTTGAGGATGCTGCAAACGTAATATGCAGATGTATTGAAGCTGCTCTGGAAGGAGCTAAATCAGCAAATGGTCTCTTATCAAAAGCCAGATCACATATTTTGCATCCCCGGAAATCTAAATTGATAATTTCATGAAGTAGCATTTGAGTTTCTTTGCGATCGTATACAGGCTCAATCTCCCAGGTAGATAAAATCAGAAAAATTACTGCTGGTTGGGAAAAAGATTGACTCACCCTTTTCTCAGTCTCTGATAACAAACTGAATCTGTTGCCATGGATGAGTCTTAAAATTGGTCGTTCAAATATTTGTCTCAATTGTAAATTGCTCAACATCTTATCTTTGAATGTTCTTTTTAATATTTCATGGCCTTGTGCTTTTTGTGAGATTTTTCAAGTATCAAGTTTTCATGTGAATGAAATTAGAGCAGAACTGAGATGTGATGATTATCAAATTGTAAAGGCACAGATGAGTTAATCTGTCGAAGTTGTGGTCAAATCAAATGATAATGATATTTGATCCTCGTTTCTCCGACCTGAAGGTCAGTCGTCTGTCTTCCTGTTCTCCAGCTGGACTTGAGCCAGCCTGTTATCGATCGAGCGACGTGTTGCTCTTACTGTGGGGAAGGCTTGGAGCTTCATGGTTCAGAGGATGTAATTTTCTTTCTACTCTCTCAAAACATGTTACCCAGGTATCTCAGTGCAGACTTCTCCAACCCTCAGGGCCATGGCTGACATTTTCTCTCTCACCAGGACGTATAACTGCTTCATTATAGCCACAGTGAATTCTCTTTGTGCCCAGATCGGCTAAATTGCAGCTGTTTCAGGGTCAGGAGGCTGTCGTCGTGTTCTGCGTGTATTCATGTGAGCATGCAAGGTGGTGTATCCACATCTGAGTTATCGTTGCTGCTTCTTAGGGATCATTGAATAACGATTTGGACGAGTTTTTTGTTAGAATCCCCGGTAGCATCGACAGGCAGAGATGAAATCCATTTAGTAATAGACGACTCATATGTGTATTGTTTTGTAAAATATGTTGCATTCATGTATCAAAGTAAATTTACTTAACTATTGTACTTGCATACAAGGCAGCATTTGATTTGCTGCTACTCTACTTCCACATTTAGACTGAAAGTATTTTTCTCTATCCCACTAGATTTGTAGTTAGATTATTTTTCACACCAAACACATGATCCTACAAACATGATTGTTTTCATTAAGACTAAACATTTAAACGATCGATCCACTTCAATCAGCTAAAGCATTAAAACAAGACTTACACATTAAAGTATTAGTGATAATAATCCAATGATATTTATAAATGCTCTGTCATTGGTTATTATGCAAATTAGCCGACTTAACACTTGGGGAATTTGTTGATGCAGGATTGAAATAAAATCACAATATTGTGGGATTGCTAATTTTACCCAAATGAAAAAATTCATTATAATACCATCACCACCTGAACCACTTTCCAAAGATATGGATTTTAGAAACACTCTCCATCACATGCTTCAGTAATTATGATACACACTCAAACAATAACTCATGCTGGCATCCACATTTCTGGCGAGTACAAATGAACGGCCATCCCGTTGCCCATAGGGATCATTAAACTACAATCAACACCACAATCCTCGTCTCCCCATAACCCACCTGTCTGCCAAGCTGCCTGCCAGCCCACTAGTCGGTCCATGCTAAACATGCAGCGATAACATTGTAATCAAGCAGCCCACTGCCCCACGGGGAGTTAAATAGAGCGGCTCGCAATAAATCTGATGAAATCTGCTCCTGCTGGGCTGCACTCAAAGACCTGGACAGGAGCACAAACACTCTTATACCACAAAGACACAGAACACAGAGTTCACCTGTTCCATGTATGTTCACATAAAGCACACAAATACACGTCGTATAGTTTGTCATAAAACATAACCATCAACTTCCAGCTGGACCCCAAACCTCCTCCCAACCTTACAAAATTCAATTTCAAAGACAGAAAGCCTCTTTGTTGTGTTGGAGCAGCAGTGGCTCCAAATTAGAGATCTCTGATAAAATTCTAGCCTTGTTTTGTTTAGCATGGGTGCGATGCAAGGTCGTCCTGCAAGGTGCTGCACTGATCATTTGAGCAAATCAAATACATGCAGCTGCACAATGCTATGATTCACCGCTTTGTTGTTAATGTTTTTCACGGTCCTCTCTGCTACAGGGAGGCAGCAGCAAACTTTAAACCAGTAACTTACATGCTGAAAATTACAAATTCAGATTACAAAGGACTTTTTTTTGACACACCAATCAGGAGTTAGTCCAAACTGTCAACCATTAGGTTTCACTTTTTTTTCCCCAATATCAAATAAGTGATAAAAACTAAACTCAGACATTTGAGTGTGATGAGAACTACCAAAAATGACAGAAACCATGTTTGAGATAAAAATGTGATGGCCACTATTTAGTAAGTTAATTTAAGACTTCATCAAATAGGTGATATGTAAGTGTTTGCTATTGCTGCGTAGCCAACCTTAGCATTAGCAGCCTATTAGCAATCTAGCAGAAACTTTGGAAGGGCAGCATCAAACGTCACTGTCTGATCCACACACTGCAGCCTCCAGTATATCCTGAAGATGAAGGTCTACTGTAACCTCCTGTTTCTTTAATGCAACAACAGTTGAAGGTCCTGGCGAGCGACTATCGCAGCAGCAACAAAAAACGCTTATAAAACCTTTTGAGCTGAGACGTCTGAAAGGGGCACAACTCATCTTATAGCTGCAAGACAAGTAATTGCTTTCGATACTCTTCAAGGTTCTTTCTCAGTCTCTTGAATTTCTCATGGCAGTGAAAATATTCCTGCTTGCTGAGTTGTTGGGCTGTAAAACACAAGGAACAGCAATGAAAATAAGTTTGATGTGTTGTGTTTTGTAAACTTTTTTAAGAGTTGAGTAAATCAACAATGGTGGAAACATTTTGGTCCAATAATGAAGCTTTTAAAGTGGCAATTAGTTTGATGCATAAGCTACAAGCAACAACTATACCTGAGTGTACTTCAGGGAGAGATCTTTTGAGAAACTATGCTCTGTCAATTTGTCAGCACTACAGTGAGTAGAGTTTTCTATGAGTCTTTTAAGGACAGAGTCATGCAAGCGATGACCCAGCATGGGCGCCTGCTGGAGTTGTACTCCACTGACATTATAAATATACTCATAAGGCTAAAAGGGTCAGAAAAAGTACACAGCAGGGGGGGGGGGCACATCTGCACTGGAGTACACAAGTAGAAGCACAGGATTTGAAAGTGTTTTCCTCAGAGCCACAGGTCTCTGCCTGCATGGCTGTGAGTCTGCACCCAATGTTCTAAATAGTGTTTTATTTTTATATCAGCACCTTTTTTAATGTGATGACTTTAATGGTCCAAGTGTAAAAAACATATGTACTTTCTCCATCTCTCTCTCTGCTCTGGATCACATTCAGGGTTTTTATATGTAGCCTCTGAGTTCTGTGGTGGTTTTGCTATAGCCGTCTCCCAAGCGACCAACTTCTCACTTCCCACTCTCTGACGCAAACAAAAAAAAGCATCTGTGCAGGGGGGGGTGGAGAAAAACATCTAACTCTCGTCTCATCACTTCAGTGCAAAGCAGGAAACATGTGTGATTTAACATCGGTTCAGCTGTGATAATAGGCCGAAGACATGTTGTCCTGTTGAACCTAATGTCCTGCTTGACGAGGACAACAGAAACTGAACAACTAATTAAAGACTGGTACAGAAATACCTCTAGCTCTGCATGTTGAATGTAAACAGTAAAATAAAGAAGCAATAGGGTAGTGCAATGAAAAGAGTAATAAATACTGTTTGAAAATCAGCCAGAGAATGGTTATGTAAGTTGTATATTTAGACATCTCCACTGTAACAGGGTTCAAATTATAGTTTGTGTATTTTGCATGTTCAAAGGTCCCATGAAGCCGTGGGCGGTACGTTGGTACGTAAAGGTTTCTGGTTCAAGTGACAGCTCGGCGGGGGGGTCTTTCTGTGTGGAGTTTGTATGTTACCCAGGGTCTGTGCTGGTTTTCTCTGCGTACACAAAGACATGCAGGTTGGGGTCAGGCTAATCAGAGACTCTAAATTGTCCGTGGGTGTGAATGGTTGTTTGTCGACCCTCCAGTACGCCAGCGACTGGTCCAGGTTGTTGTTCTGCATTCAGTTTAAAAACATGGTCATCATAGTGAGGCATGAATCTAACGTGTAAACCAATCAACAGTTATTTGTGCAAAATAAGTTTAATCCCTGATTTTCAAATTAGATTTTGTTGATTGCATTTTTTCAACACACCACACAAAAATAAACTGTTTGTCATTAGTGCTTTTCCAGGAAGCTGAAGTGATCACTTCAACATGTGAATGACAAATTAATCAACCGTGGAGTCTCTGTGTCTGCGCAGAAATAATAGCACCCTCGTTCTGTTTTGTAAACCGACCTGAATGTTTCAGTGAAAAACACAAACTGTGTCCAGTTTCGTGGACGATCTTTTAGAAAGGAATGCAAACGGAATGCATTCAACTTAAAGTTTGATCAGACTTTTCTCCTTTTTCTCCTCTCTCTCTCTGTCCTTCTGTCTCTCCTCTGCAGATTGAAGACATCGTCACTCGTATCCAGGACGAGACGGAGGGTGTTGCCATCAGAACTGTCAAAAGCTTCATGACCAAAATCCCCAGTGTCGTCACAGGTAAGAAACAGAGAGACAGAGACGACACAGACTCCTCTATCTGACTCCACTACTCATTTTCAGGACTTGAACGTCCGACTGGAACTCATCTACCACACAGACAGGGACAGACCCTGGAGTCTACAGACATTGACTCTAACATGCATTAGTAATTTGAGTGTCTGGTGAACGGAGATGTGAGAAATGGAGACCATGGGAAATGCACAGTCCCTTGATCCTCATGTTTCTGGGAAGATGACTCAATTTGATAATTTGAACGGGGGAGTGATTTTTATTTTACACTTTGGGAAATAAGCTTGTTTGCTTTCTTACGCCTCCTCACTGGCGACAGCAGTGGCTGGAGGCATTATTCAATTCCATCTTATTGGTATGCTGCAAAATCACAACATACAATATCTCAAGGCTCTTCATATAGTAAGGTCAGGACCTCACACATTCATGGAGACACCCAACAATTCCCACAACAGGAAGAAACTTTTTGCAGAACCAGACTTAATGTGGGCGGCCATCTGCCTCGACCTTTTGGGGTGAAGGACCACCGATCGGGTTGTTGTGAACACGATATCTCAACAACAACTTGAGGGAATTTCTTCACATTTGGTACAAAACAAACATTCAGTTCAAGAATGAACTGCTCCTCTCAGAAACACGCGTTGCCTTTTGAACACGTTATCTTAAGAACGCCTCATGATGATCCGTTCAAATTAGGCACAAATGTTCATTTAGACTCACAGATTAACTGATTACATTTGGGTGGTCAAAGGTCAAGGAAGCCTCTTGAACACATCTCATGTTTTAGTCAAAGGGGCTTTTTCCCCTCTGTTTCAAGTCTGTGTACCATGCTAAGCTAACCAGCTGCTGGTTGTAGATGTATATTGATTGGACTTAGGTGCTACTGATTGATTTTTACTCGGTTCTCTGCAACAAAGTAAATAATGTGAGATCATCAGTTTGTGCTTTACCTTGAAAGCCCCAATAGCAGTGGTGACTGTTAATCACAAGTGGGATAGTGTTCAGGTTCAATCTCCAGCTGAGTCTCACCCTTACACCCAAAAACACAATGTGCTCTGTGGCTGCATGTTATTATGGCTGTGTCAAGGCTGCTGCACTGTTTCTTCTGCAGTGGATCACTGGAGGAAAGCTGAATAGCCAGAGGATAAGTGAGAGGACCACGCATGATTAAATGTTTGGAAAAGAAAGTGTGAGTGTGGAAAACAGAATGAGTAATACTGTCCTGCTTCTGTCAAGGTGCCCTTAAGCAAGACAATCAACCCCCTGACTGCTTCAATAAAGCTGCGACTGTATGGGGTCAGCGTGCGGGCTCATATTCATGTGAATCAGCAGGGAAGATAAACAACATCAAACTTTGTAAATAAATCAACATTTGAAATAGAAAAAGAAACCGTTGCTCACCAGTAGAAGCTGACAGGTGTGGATGGATGTTAGCCACCTTGCCTGTCGGCTGTAGTCGCTTCATTTGATCACCTAAATTACTTTAACCGGCTGCAGCCACAGTGGGAGGCTCTGACACACCCCGAACAAATCACGGAAACAAAGAAAGCCCATTATCATTCTTCTGTTCTTCAGCCCCTGCACTTATGGAAAACGCATTACCCCGATATGCCATAAGCAGAGCATATCAATAAACACAATTACTACGGCGGCGGATGGATGTGCAGAGCAGCAGCTCACATGTTTGCAGCTGAGTGCTGAGGGCCAGGAAACTAATGAACGATGGAGAATTAAGCAACGCCTCCCTCAGGACTCGGGGAAAACAGAGAGGAAGAACAGATAATATGATTCTCGATCTCCACTGAAAAAATACGGAAAAAAGGAAACAAAAAACCACTACGTTTTCATTCATTCTGTCATTACATAACAAAATAATGACCCTGGGATGACAAAATCAAAATGAATTCTCTCATTGTTTCATTCTAACAATTATACTAAAAACTGTTATACTAAAAAATATGATTTCCCCTCGTTATCTGGTTATGAAGTACTGTAATTAAAAAAATTACCTGTGCTGTTTTTTGAAAAACAAATTAGCAAGGTTTCTAAGTTTAAAGCCAGTGGAAGTACCTTCTATAACACAAAAAAGCTGATACTGGTTTCTTGTTATGTTTAAACTCATTTTTGTTTTCATTATAATGGTGAAATCATTGCAAATTACTTTGCATGTGTTTTTATTCAGCCCTAAATTGTGGCTCAAAAAAGTAGTAGAGCCATTTTAACTTTTTACCCGTCTTCTAATTTCTTTTTTAATCACAACCCGTTCTTTCTTTAACGCTCATCACTATCTGTCTGTGTGTGATCTGACTCAGGTGCAGATATCGTACAGTGGATGATGAAGAACTTGGCCATTGAAGATCCAGGTACGTTTTGAAAAGTACCACTGTGCTGAATGTGATGAGTTAAAGGCCACAGCAGCAAAACCTCTGTAGAACTACAAGACTTTCACGGTACATTAAACTAAATACTGAGATCTCACTAGAACTCACAGAAGATATCAGACCTCTAAATATGTCGGCCTGAGGCGAGGTGGTGGGAGGGCATTGTTATTGTTGGTACAGTATCCCACGGCACTGAGTCGGTCTTTGACTCATCCATGTACATTCCAGCCACATCAGGGCTGAATCCTATAGCTGTGGCTATTTAAATACATCTATGATCACTAACTTTATACTTTATTTCACGACGGTGGGACATTTGTGGCTCGTGCATGTCTAGCTTCCTCCTGATATTGTGACAATGCAATGCAATGCTAATTACAGCTAATGTGGAGCGCTGAGTGTTGTGATCTGTATTCCGTGTCTTGTTCCTTCCACAGCCGAGGCCATGCACATCGGGAGTCTCATCGCAGCTCAGGGATACTTCTTCCCTATCTCAGATCACGTTCTCTCGCTCAAAGATGACGGCGCATTCTATCGCTTTCAGGTGAGCGAGGGCATCGAGTGAAACACAGACATGGTGACAGTAGCTGCATTTAGAGTCAATAAATAACCTTTAAACTATATTATAAAGAGTGCAGATCCAGGTCCAGAAAGTGGAGTCACTGCAGAAGTACCTGAAACTTGTATTCTCTCAAATGACCAGCAGAGTGCGACTCCATCGCAAGTTTCAAGTCGTCTTCAAAACAGCATAATGTTCATTTAGTAAATTATTGTTCTAATTAGAGACAAATAGATGATTAAGCATTGGCATCTTTTTGGTCATTTGTTACGGACTCATGTTTTCTCTTTGGTCACCTGATACAAAGTCGAGCAACAAATGTGACCAAGAAGAAGAAGAAGAAGAAGAAAGCCAATACATTGACTTTGAAGCACAGACATATTTGTTACAGATATTAAAGGTGCCCAGCCCACAAGGCTCTTACATTATATTTTATACGTCGTGACAGATTGGTTGGGTTATTAATCTTTATTGTAAACAGATTACACTACATCACTTTTATTCTTGTGCCTTTTGTAACAGACCTAAGCTCCATCTAATTCCTTCCTTAATCTGATTGTGGAAATTGCTCTCTTTCATAAAGACCCCGATCAGCCGTAAAGGGGATTACTTGTTCCGTCATGGAATTACACACCGATCTTGATCTTGATGACAAAAGGCCCTGTCCACTGTCTGCAGCTCCTTCAGTACTACGGTGGCGTCCTGGGACCACATTAAAAATGAATGGTGCTCTGTTGAAATATTCATCAAGCGAGTGAGTGAGTGAGGGGAGCAGATCTGGGTTTGGGACTGAGTGGGCGGCCACCAAAAGCCTCACACAGAGAGTAGTACAGACGTTATACTCCTCCTCCTCTGTTCAGAGATAAAACAGCAACATTAAAGCCACAGATTAATTATGCATGGCTGTTTTTTTTATCCTGAATTTCCTAATTAAAAAAAGAGGAAACAATGTTTTCAAATTCCTCCGGGAACGGCAGGGCGGCACGTGGCGAGATTACAATGATCTCTGTGCAGCTCCGTCTTCCTTCCAATTCACCCAGCGTTGTCAGAGGGCTGCGTCTCCACCGGAGCTGGAGGAGCAGTTTAATTAAACCAGATGGGTGTGCACATTGCCGTGCGTTTGACCTTAAGGTTCTCGTCCTTCAAAGTGGAGTGGAAGTGGAGGAGGAGGAGGAGGAGGAGGAGGACAAGGGCTGTTAATTGTAGCAGAAAAGCTCCACAAAGATAATCATGTTTTTCAGGCAAAGCAAAGAGAAAATCTAAACAATTGACGCCATGTAATGTCTCTCATAGTCGACAATAAGCAAAAAATGGTTTAAAAGAATGATTCAAAGCAATGTGATGTCAAGAAAGAGTCTCATCAGCATCTGTTCTTCGCCTGCTGCCTTTATTGTTCTTCTCTCCCATTGTTTACTCTGCGCTTCTTGGTTTATTGTGTCGCTGGGCCACTCCCATCTCGTCTGCAGCACCCCAGGATGCCTCTCGCTGGTGGAAAAGTTTTTATGAGTCAGCTCCTCCGAATCCGTGAACTCATGATAATAAAAGATATTTTGATTGCTCACGTAACGGCAGTCGCGTTGCACCGCTGCGTCCCAGAGGCAAAGCAAGAGTTTCACGAGGTCATCGCCACAGAGTTCGGAAATAACTTATTTCTATGCATATAAATACGAATTACACTCCGATCACAGATATATGATTTGAAAGTCAACCGATATTTTGCATTAATGAAGCGTCGCTCTTGTGTTTGTGAAGGGGAAACACTCATCATCGTCTTTCTGTGTCTCATCTCTCAGGCACCGTATTTCTGGCCGTCCAACTGCTGGGAGCCTGAAAACACTGATTATGGTGAGAATCTTAAAGGGAGGCGTCGACGTGTTGTGCTTTTTTAAAAAGATAATTATCTTGGGAAACTTGTGTAAAGAAAACATTGAATTTATTTACTTTAAAGATCTAATGTGTAACCTTTCTTCAGCCATGCAATGTGGCAACCAATTAAATATTTCTCAGCATAGGGTTAAATCAATCTTTGAGTGTCTGTGACCTATACTGACATTTAACCAACCTGTGGAAAACAACAGTCATGTGGGTGATATTTGATATGATTAAATATTTCTGCTGGATCAAACCCACAGAGACTGTGTGGAAAACACAGTTACATTGTGTGTATTTGTATAAATGTGCAGTTATTTTGCAGCGTTTAAACGATTAGATACAAAGCAGATTTTCATACTAACTGACTGTAAAGTTAGAAAATATCAGCTTATATCTAAATATAACAACCTCCCACGGAGAAATGTGCAGCAGCACAACTCATCTCCTCTGCGGCAGAAAGTCGATCACGTTTCCACTTCCTGCCGTTCGACCTGTCACAGAAGCAGCCATGTCTGGAGTTTAGGGCTCAGCACGTCTTCACACTCCACCTCATGTTCCTGAAGGAACAGATGTGTGGACAGGCGGCCTCTGAAACTGATTATACTCTCATACCATGGGAGGTGAGGCAGGTACAAGGTGGATGAGAGATGCATGGATGAGCGGTTGAAAGGAGGGAGGGAAATGTGTCCACCGATAAGTCCCAGACCTCAGTCCTCTCTCTCCATCTCTCTCTCTCTCTCTCCCTCAGCTATCTATCTGTGCAAGCGGACCATGCAGAATAAGACCAGGCTGGAGCTGGCAGATTATGAGGCGGTGAGTGCTCGACTGTTCCTCGGAGCTATTACTTCTTTGTATTGATCTGTGTGTCAAGTTTGAGGCAGAAAATCACAACCTCTCTGAAGGTCAGACGTGACGCGAGTCTGAGATTATTACGGATCTGAATTGGATCCCGGATCGGACTCAATCTATAAAAGTCTTAGCTTTTATTTTCATTTAGTTTTAATATCGTGCTTTGATCATAACTCGTGACTCCATCTGGTTTCCAACAGGAGAACCTTGCCAGGCTGCAGAGAGCCTTTGCCAGGAAGTGGGAGTTTATCTACATGCAGGCTGAGGCCCAGGTCAAGTAAGTGTGCCGAGCTGCCATGGCAACACAATGCATGCAGCGCCCGCGATGCCATTTGCACCTAAGGTAAAAGATAAACAACATAGGTGTAAGCTCAATGTGACATCACATATCATGAGCAATGACTTTTCATTTCATTTTCATTTCCTATCTCCTGTTATGGAGTTTGACAAAAGATTATCTCCACTCAGATAACATGATAAATCATTTTTTAATTCAGCTGTTCTAGATTGCACACACACACACACACACACACACACACACACACACACACACACACCAATCACAGCCCANACACACACACACACACACACACACACACACACACACAGGAGCCTGAACAATGCAACATATTGTTAAAACTGATCCTCGACTTTCCAATCTCTCCTCATCCTGACTCCACTGCTGGGACTAATGCTCATCAACATTTCTCTCACCGACTGATCTCTTGTGCAGGATCGACAGGAAAAAGGATAAAACCGAGCGGAAGATCCTTGACAGCCAGGAGAGGGCCTTCTGGGACGTCCACCGACCCGTGGTAAGTTAGCCCCTGTCTGTGCGTGTGAGATTACCGCCGCCCACTTTATCTTCCATCCACGTGTTGTGTCATCCTCATCTCTCCATGGCTCTGTTTGGGTCTTCTGGAAAAAAAATTGGAGGCACTGTTGTTTTTTTTCCAGCCTGGATGTGTGAACACCACAGAGATGGACATCAGAAAATGTAGACGCATGAAGAACCCTCATAGAGTTAAGAAGGTATGAGTTAAAGGTGACGTTAATTATAGAAAATCCTTTAATGGACGTACTTTTTAAATAAATAATGACATTTCTTCAACGCTTTTCCTTAATAAGAATGATTTATACGCAATAACTGTTCTGTATCTACAACACAATGCACAGAAGATTCTTACTCTCATGCTTTTTCTTCCCTGCAAGAAAATAATAAGTATAACAATAACATTCTCTCGCTCCATTGCTCCTCCTGCTCCTCCTCATGCATCATGTTGGAACGGATCAGTCGGTGTACGGTTTGGCAGAGGAGGGAACGCAGGCGCAGAGTCCGATACACACTCCTTCACACCTCAGCAGGAAAGGCACCAAGGAGGACGTCGAGAAAGAGGTGAAAAAAAAAGAGAGAGAGAGAAATTGTCCACCTGATGAAGTCAGGTTAAAAATTTGATTTCCTTCCAGATAAGATTAACAGCCACAGAGAATCATTTGAATCGATATTCACTTTAAAATGCTCGAGTACGTCCGCGGTGATTCTTCCTGAGACTGAGAGTTTAACTGGGATGTCGCTGTGTGAACACTGAGCAACACCCGCCCTTGGCTTTCACACATTAATACACAAAGGTCAAGTGTGTGGTGTGATGAATGCATGGCCGAATAAAAGAGGGGGAAGATTTCTTTTCCGTTTGCATTGGTGTACAACTTTGTTTTCTGTTGTTAGAAAAACCAGCGTCACTAAACGCTGACCCCTGTCGTCTCCTGTTTCAGATCTTGTTCCTGAACCTGCAGCTCGATCGTCACTGCATGAAAATGTCTAAAGTCGCTGACAGGTACTGGAAACATCAAGTTTTTATCTTGTCAATCTGAACATCACTGGAGAAAAGAGGTCGTCTGCTGCTCGTCTGTAATCAGACTAACCTGTTCTCCTCTGACAGATGGATTTAACTTGGTCATTTGATTTTCACTCTTACATCTGAACCTGTGCCAGAGAATGAAAGTCAAAACTCATCTAATAAATGATAATGCAGGGTCGGGGGACATGTTCTCAACTTTCTACATTTAAAAAAAATACATGTAAAATACAATTCATTAACCCAAGATGCCGATATACTGTACGTACCTGATTTTAAGAATAATTATTATGAAATAATGATATAGAGGAAGTGTTACAAGTTAAAAATGAAAAAAATACAGATGACAAAAGAGTAAAATCAGATCAAAGATAAAATAAAACATTACAAAAGGATTTAAAAAGCTTTTCCCCTGTAGTGAGGCTGCATTATTTATGATCCTTCCTGTATTTATCATGAGAGAAACACACGACACCCACGGACACGTGTTGGAGTTTCTCCTCCCGGCACCTGCTGCCCTTTGGTTGACACACTTTGGTGTTTGCCTCCCTGACAGTCTCATCTCCTGCTCGGTGGCTCAGGACGGCCATTACTCCCCCAGCAGAGCAGAAAAACGGATAATTGCCCCTCGCTCTGCCTCCACGACCCTTTAACCTCCTGTCGTCACGCATGGAGCAGAGTTTAATCGGTGATGCACAGTGCGGAAAGTTCCCCCCCGTTAATCCAGAACCGCACGAGAAGCGATGTGACAAGTGACAGGAATCATGTCGGCTGATCATTTTCAACATGTCTGTGAATTCTTGAATCACTTGTTGGGTCAGTAAATAGATGACAAACAAACCTTGAAAAAAAATAAAGATCTGAGATGAATATCTAAAAAAACTACTGAACATCTTCCTGCTGCTCCAGGATGAAACGTTCTCCTGTGGTTACAGAACATCTTGTCTCATCCTAAAGAGGATTACAGAGGAATTCTACGACGGCTGCCAACATGGTGTAGGAAAGAAACTCCGTTCTGTTCTGATGCTGCTGAAGCTCGTTCTGCTTCGCTGCATCTCTCACTCGTTGTTTATCTCGATTTTCAAAGAAGAAGGTTCACGTCTGAGCTCAGATTAGAACAGATGTTCTGCCCTGAACCACACTTTCTTTTTTTAATTTATTCTGTTTACTCCTGAAAACTTCCAAGTCACGTTTACAAGGAAACAGATGAAATATTGATCTCACTAAACAAAAGGATAAAATGTCACTATTAAACTCTGTGTGTGTGTGTGTGTGTCAGTCTGATAACCTACACAGAGCAGTATATGGAGTATGACCCGTTTGTGACTGCAACAGAACCATCAAACCCCTGGACCAGCGATGATCCGTCCTCCTGGGATCTGGAGGCGAGGTAGGAAAGCAGACGGCGTGGCGGAGTCACCGTCACAGCCGGTGAACATTTCAAGTCCATTCTACTGAATAAATTAATCCACACTTCACACGCAGGCTGTCAGTGTTACCCAGAGACACTGCAGGGACGCTGGAAGTCAGTCAGGGCCGGGGGGGCACTGAGGGAAAGTTCATATATTGACGTTAATGACGTGCAGCAGAGTTTCTATATAATTTTACACCACAACAATAAGCAAGGCAACCAATTAACTGAGTGTCAGAGCAGAATAGGAGAGTAATTAACATCAGAAATTGCTCCGAACCATTTATGTTACACTCTGCAGATGTGCATCATCTCGAAAATGGAAAGAAAAATCGTTCTAAAATTGCTAAAAGCTATATTCTCACTGAAACACTGAAATAATGGATACCCTTGTAAATGTTTCAATCTGAACTGATTTTAATTTTTTCATTAATATAAAAAGTAGGAAAACTAAACTTAAAATGTATTTTGTCTTAGATTAATTGGAACCATTTGACATAATAAAATTTAGTAAATTCTTTTTTCAGTAACTATTTTTCTCTCTGGTGTTTCTGAATGAAACATTGGCATAATTATTTTAATATTATCTTATATCTAATGTGTTTTTTTGCTTTATTTCTTTTGTGTTTGGTTGTAATAGAAAAGGATTTTATTGTTTGCGGTGAAATTACTTTTAGAAACTTTTTCATGAGGATAAAAAGGATAAAATGTTCTTTCACTCTCTCTGCTGGGAAAGATTTATTTGAATTTGAGGATTAACACAAAAAAAAACCTCTCTGGGGCTTTTTGTTTCCTTTAACCTTTATTTCTGGTCCGATCATCTCAGCTGTTCAAACATCTGTAAAAACATCAGGTGAGTGAGTTTAAATTTGCCGACCCTGAGAAGTGCACAGAAAAAAAAGAAACCTCTGCTTTTGAAAAGGTTTTTTTTATCGATCTGTTGAATCCTACAAACGTTATTTTCTGGAAACAAATGAAGAAATCTCTGTAGGAACCTATTTTTTTTAATGGAAATCAACTGGCATGAAGAATTTTGGAGAAATCGGGGAGAATGTGAAATTATGAATCTCTCAATGAGCTGTTAACTGAAGCTGATGATTTCTCAGCAGGTTTCACTATGTTCTCAGTTTACCTGTTTATATGCAGGAAGTAATTAGAGCAGATGTGTAATCATTGTGTCTAATGCAGCGTTGTAATTCAGCTGAATTAATAACGGAGAGGGAATCTTCTGAACAGAGAATCACATTTTAGATCATCGACATCAACCCTTCTGGATTTCCCAGTTCTATCAGAGGCACAGTACCCACGTGATATTAAAAGCAAAATGGAAATGAAACAGAAAACTGTCAACATCTCTTCAGCTTCAGATTGATCTTCCACTTGAATACATCAGGTCATATTATTTATTTGATTCCAATCGTCTCTTCCAGTCCCAGGCAGAAAAAACCCCACTTCAGAAATCAATGATGTTTTAAGTGTTCATCTGTTGCCGTCATCACACCGAGCCTCTTTCCGCCATCTCCATGTAATTCAATCACCTCTGAACGAATCCTTGAACTCCTACATCAGACGGATGTTTACACTCGTCCTCTCCCATTTGTCCCAGTAAGGAGCCCAGTCAGCCGCGGGTGAAGAAGTGGGGTTTCTCTCTGGAGGAGGCCCTGAAGGACCCCGCAGGACAAGAGCTCTTCCTCAAGTTCCTGGAGTCAGAGTTCAGCTCGGAAAACCTGCGGTGAGACCACACACACACACACACACACACACACGTATACTGAGGCTTTTCCCAATTCGTGAAAACTTTTACATTTGCAGTTCCAGCATGTGGGTTTGGTGAATAATTAAGGACGTGGTACTTTTAAGGGAAAGTTTCTAAATCCAACATGATCAAAAAACCCTGCGTCTAATCTCTGAGCTTCAATTTAGCTCACAAATACCTCTGGTTTGAATCAAAGGCACTGCGCATTTTCACTACCCTGAAAATAGTCAGAACTGAAGGATTTCTTTTTGGCATCCCTGTTGTTTCAGCCTACCACTTCAACCCACCTGCACATGTTTTTCACTTTCCAGTTGTTTGGTTCCTGAGATAGAAAAAACCTTGAAAACACAGAGAAACACTCACAGAAACACAAAACATAATAATACAAACAGGAATAACACGAGTAGGAAAGAAATAAATCCTGTTGACACGTGTTGTTGCACAAATTAGTTTTACAAAAACAAGCAGCATGTGGAACTTGATTTTTTTCTGGATTCACAGACTCTGGGGATGAACAGTGAGATGGTTTGGAGGTTTTATAAGAGAGGAAGAGCGTCCACCCTCATCACTCACCTCCCCTCACCTCCTTCTCACCCCTGTTCCCCTTTTTCCAGACCTTTAATTGCTTTTTATGACGCATCTCAAGGATCAACAGAGAGTGAGTGACACTGAGTGTGAGAGAGAGAGAGAGAGAGAGAGACGGAGCCCAGAGGTGCTCCTCTCAATATAACTGAACCCGTCCACAGATCAATACAGAACAAACTAATACAGGAGGCAGTCGACCTGTGGCTCCCTGTTCAACACCTGCTTCCCTTCCACTCACATATTAAACGAATGCCTTCAAACACTTCAGAACGGAAAGCGTCTCGTTATAATTCCCCAAAACAGTTCCTGAATAATTTTTTTAGATGAAAGTGAAACCTTAATCTGCTCTCTCAGTCTTCCACGGCTCCTTACAAAGTAGTTTTGTCATGTTTCTCTCTGTGTCGTGCATTTCGACTGCTCCAGGTTCTGGTTGGCGGTGCAGGACCTGAAGAGGAGGCCTCAGCAGGAAGTTGCACAAAGGGCGCAGGACATTTGGACGGAGTTTCTGGCCGAGGGAGCACCCAGCTCCATCAACCTGGACTCTCACAGCTACGAACGCACCAGCCACAACCTGAAAGACCCCGGACGATACAGCTACGAGGACGCGCAGGTGGGAAAACCATTCCTCGTTCTTGTTCAATAAGTCATTTACACTCATAGAGACGTGTTCACCATCTTTAATGCTGCGAGGCCTGAGAGCTTATATCTCACTTTTAATTTCCATCTCTTCAGGTGATCAGTGTCAGTGCTGCCTCCTCAGAAACTCTATCCCCCTCCGTCCTCATCTCTTTCTTACATGCTTCGTCGATATCAGCTAATGGGTTTAAATTGCGGGCTTGTGATTTCTAGACAATGGGCCCGGCTGCGTTATAGATAAGGATTGTGGGAAGGAATGGAGTGTTGGGGGAAGGGAAGAGTTAAATAAAGAACAAGCTACAACCGTCGTTCTCCCTCTGTGACCGTCTCCGTCAGGTTACTCTGCCCGAGCTTTGCACGTCATTAGCCAGGAGACGTACCTCCTCCCCTCTGTCTCTCTCTCTCTCTTTCTTTCTCTTTACGTCTCTCACCATCGTTCTCTCTCTCAATCCAGGACCACATCTACAAACTGATGAAAAGTGACAGCTACGCACGCTTCCTGCGCTCCAACGTCTACCAGGACCTGCTGATGGCGAAGAAGAAAGTACGTGTGTCAGTTCATCATAAACCTGCGTCCATGTTTTTATTCAACTGATTTCAAGTGTTCATGCAAGAACTGACGGCTGCTCTCCAAGGACGAGGGTCAGGGATTCTTTTTAATTTAAAGCAAATTGGGAAAAATTTTGAGAAAGAAATCGTTCAACCCACTTGCACATGTTTTTCACTTTCCAGTTGTTTGGTTCCTTAGATTGAAAACATTGAAAACACAAAGAAAATAAGGAATAACAAAAAATCTAAAATTTTCTGGAGGGAAGAACTGCAGCCTTGAAATCCGTAAAAAAAAAATCTTCTAAAAATTGGCGCACATTTTTAAACGTGCGTAAAACAGGAAGTCAGGTTCATGTGAATATCTGTTTCAAACACTGACTTCTTCAATGGTTTCCTCCTTTATTTACTTTCTCTGTGACTCTGCAGCCGGAGACGGAGCAGGGACGACGCACCTCCCTGGAGAAGTTCACTCGCAGTGTGGTGAGTGTCCCTCTGTCTCTCTGCTCTTCGCAAAACTGCATTCAGTAAAGTACGATGAATTCTAGTCGAAAACACATCTGGTTTGTTTCCCGGTCCAAAAAAATACTCAGCTTATATTTGCAGTCAAATTAGAGCAACGTAGGAAACAACCCTCCTGTATGAAGAGGATGTAAAAGTGATTTATTATTAGTTATGGAACATTTTCTTTCTTTTGCCTGAGTTTTTTTGCTCACTTTGACTTTAAGGATCAGTTTGTACTTGTACAAGTTTCAGTGTAATTACAGCCTGTGCTCAGTGATTCGAACATGTTTTACTTCTGCTGCTGCTCGACCGAGGGGACGTGTTCTCTTCGGTCATTAAATCACCAGAGCGTTTAAACGTGAACCAAAAAAAAAAGAACAAATTGCTCATCGCACTAATTTAAGTGTCCAGAGGTTTTACTGTGTGCGCTCAGTGTAGAAGTACAGATACTTGTGTTAAAAACTACTCATGTAAAGTATAAGTAGTGATTCAACCTCTTTACTCAAGTAGAAGTACAGATACGTGTGCATGAGGGACTAGAATCAATAAAGTCACTAGATTTAAAGTCTACTATGATATTTTCTTGTAATGTCATTTTCTTTCTTCTTATACTGTGAATATCTATCGCCCCATTTTTCCAGACCAGGTCTTTCCTCTCCTCCACCTCTTCCTCCCACACTGCTCTTTTTAAATCCTCAGGAAAGCCTTTAGAGTTGATGACATTTAGACAGCTGTCACCCTCACCTCCCTCCCTCTCGCTGTGTCCTCCTCGCAGGGCAAGTCGCTGACGGGCAAACGACTCACGGGCCTCATGCAGTCATCCTGACAAGGCCTGGATCCAGAGTAGGAAGAACCATACCCAGAAGAGCCGCTTACACCTGGGGAGCAGGCGGAAAAGAACCCCGGGGCGTTTGGGTGTGGCTGCGCGAGGCGGGTGAGAGCCACCCAACGAGCCCCCGAACCGCCAGACTGGACCGCCGCCACGTTTGAAACCCCCACCCCTCACCCCTCCACTCGGATTTAGTTGAAGAGGAGCGACAGCATGCAATAAGTCACCAGACCTGACACCAGGACAGTGCTGTCACCGTGTAGAGGAAAAACAATGCTACTCTTCTAAAGGAGGTTTCTACTCGGACGCCTGCACCTTAGCAGGCCCTGTTGTTTCTCTATCTACTATCTACACTCATGTTATCACGGGGGCTGCGGAGGCCTTCACTTTACTTTCAGCGATATAAACATGGAATGCTTGAATGCCTTGACTGATGTCAAAAAGAGACTTAATTAATGCCGTAGCTAGATGTTTCATGTCACACCACCATCACTATGGGATGATATAAGGGAGGTTTACACGGACCGCGGGTTTGTGTTAGCGGGCGGAGAGGTGCACCAACTACTTAGTAAATGAGCTTTTGGATCGAGTGGGATGACACAAGATTAACGTCCTCTGGGTGTTTGATTCTGGTTCAGTTTCACGGTGTGTGGTCACGTTTTATACGAATGGTTCCTGCAGTTGAAAAGAACTGAAACACACAGAGACATCGGAAATCTATGCATTCCACCGAAACATCTTTATTTTTAATTTGAGGCACGATGGAAGTAGCGTTAGAGGAATCTTGACAAATCGAGGACGTACATGTATGTAAGGATAATTAAGATTTAGCACATAGTATTTTAACCTATTTAAGAAATTTGTTGAATGACCGTTAAAGACTCTGTGTGTTGTATTCACATCAACTAATGTGTTGTATTCTTATTACAGATTAGACTGATTAAAACCCTCGACACGTTGACCTGCTCAGGATCAGTAGATCTGACCTGGAAACAGGTAAACCAGAAATTATTTTTGTTTTAATCGTCTGCACAAATTGTACAAGATCTTGTTTCTATATTGGCACCAATATCATTTCTTGGATGATCTCACCCTCTGAGAGAGAAACGTTCACCACTGCCTCTGTAAGCACATTTTCTATTAAAAGCACAGCTTCACAACAGCAGCGTTGAACAGACAGAGGTGTAATCTTGTTGTCATTGAAGGAAAGGTTGATGATCTCACAAAAACAAAAAAAACGGGTGCTCTACTCCAAACGAGTGAGTTGTTGTTGAATTAGTCTTGATTCTATCTTCTAAACATTCCACTTGTTGGGCTGACCTCCAACCATTCTTCACCATATGTAAAGAGGACCATGATAATAAAAGAGGAATGCTCACTGAAGAGAGGCACTGGTTATTTCACGTGTGTCCATCTGATCTCATCAGGGGCTGCAGGGAAATTCAGCTTTCCATCACAGGAAATAGAGAAAAAGTGACATTTACAGAAAAAACCCTGAAGCAACGGAACCAAACAGCTCAACAGACGAAAGGTACATCTGCTGGAAGTAGTCACACACTGCCCTCTAGTGCATTCAGAGGGGAAGTGCTGGTCAATGTCTCAATAACCACTTTCTCTTGATGACTATGCAGAAGATCTAATTAAAGCAGGCTGACAATTAAATGTATGATTCCCAAATTAATGCTGAGAGCACTTAAATATTTAATTTTAAAGGTCATCAGAAGTTTGAATGTGGTCCAGTGTGGTTAAATTAAAATATCAAATTAAAACTCTGTAGATTTGAATAATTGTAAATGAATAATACACAGAGGATCCAGTCTGTTTCATACCGGATGATAGTGAAAGCTGTTGCACCACCTGGTGGAACTTTGAGGCCACGGTTCAAGCTTCATCCAATTATCATTCTCACCACAAACAGGATCCGAACACATGCAGTGGTTTTGTATTTCTTCTAGTTTTAAAGAAGGACAGGACAACCTGTGTGATGCTATCAAGAATATATTTCACAAACAGCTGCTGAACGTGTTTTCAGCCACACCATGCAGAAGTAGCGTCCTGCAGAAACCTTGTTCCTTCACTTTCACTGAGGAGAAACACAAGCTGCCCATTGTGCATCAAATCTATTGATGGTTGTGGAATGTTGAGGAAAGTTTACGCCTTTAAAATATTTAACTTCTTCTCACCGTCATGTCAGAGGAAACATCAGTAAAGCCAGTTTGTTAATGCAGCTGTTATCTGGTCATAGTTTCTACCACAACTTTACAACTTGTATTTAAGTCAGAGTCTCACCTCCGCCCATGAGGTTTTGGTTTCACCCCTGTAAACCTGATTTTTTTGTTTGTCGTGAGGATAATGCTAAAAATACTAAACAGATTTCCACGAACATCAACCCTAGACTGAAATCTTTTCTAGTTTCAATACGTTCTGCATGTGATTGCTTGGATAACTGAGTAATTAAATGACATTTAAAACTTAAGATTTGCAGTAGAGTCTAAAAGAGCCCAGTGTAAACTTCCTGAATGGTTTTGTAGACATAAGGGTGAGAAGGTTATGACATCTCTGTGTTATCTAGATAAAAAAGGGAAACAAGGTTTATGGAGGACAAATGCAGGGAAAACATAAAAAGATCTAAAACAGAAGACTCCACGTGTCCTGTTCACATGATCAACACATCCCACGACAGAATCATTGTATTGAAGCACGTGTCAGAGCTTTGCTCACATCAGACGAACTGGAAAACCTTTTAAAACACTGTGAGACCTTAGTTTGAAGTCATCGTGGATTTATTGTCCAGTCTTGCACTGTACAAAATGTCAGGGTCTCATACTGAACATGTGAGGGTGAATTTCAAGCAGTTTTTTTAGTTTTCGCTCTATGAAAACCACACTGGGCAGATTTAACAGATTTTGGACATTTAATGCATCTTTCTTAACAGGGCAGTACAGAGTCTAGAACTTCTGTTGGAGGAGGTTGTGATAGAAGAGGCAAAACCTTTTGTCCCTGTGTCTGAACATCACATAGATGTCTCTTTAAAAAGTTCTGCCCTTGTTATGATATTAATCATCTCGCTTTAACGATTGGCTACACTGCCCCCTCATGGTTTCCGGTGGCACTGATCTGTTTTGTCCAAATCAACGAACCTGGTAAACTGCATCTGTTTCCATATCTAATGTTGAACATAAATGAGCCTGTAGATGTGTTAAAACATTTAATACTAGTTCTGAACTTCCACAGTGATGCTCAACTCACTTTTTGCACGTTCCGTCTTTTCGCTTGTTTCGATAACAGATAAATAATTTGGGATTATTTGTAGATGAACAATCTGCCCATTGCAGCTTCAACGACCGAGTTGCAGTAAAAACTTCACACCTCAGACCTGCACAGCTCCTTGTGGGAGTGTTAGTTTAACCACAAAGGGAGGGAGGGGCTCGCTGGTTTCAGTTAGGCCGCTGCAGCAGGACAGGAGAGAGGCTGGACTCCTTTGAGCTCCAGAGCCTTGTTGAAGTGCACGTCCATGGTTTTAGAGGCCTTGGTGATCTTCAGGTTCCTCATACAGCCTCTGAAGGACGTGCTGGACGAGAGCGCTGCCTGATGAACACCGTCTGAAAGTAGGAGGTACAAAACACTGACGTCTCCGAATGTGGTAATGTACAAATCTGTACTTTAGCTTTTCCCCTCTAGACTTTTAAATTTTTTTAGATGGAAGATATATTAGTCATACCAGGATATCCTCCGACGTAGATGGGGTCGTTGGTGTCGCAGCTGTTGGAGCGCACGTTGGGACTCTCGGCTTGGCTCTGCTTCCCGTCGACCACCAGCTCCACCCTGTGGCGAATCTTGTTGGCAGTGACGGCGTGCCACTGGCCGTCGCAGAAGCCGTCTCCCTCTGGCGCGTGCTCCGCTGTGATTCGCCCAGCGCCGTTGTCCAAATGGAGGAGGAGCTATGGCGAGGTGAAGGAAGAGCATGGAAAAAGTGGAAAGTTTCAAATGTCTGTTTGTTTCATATCTAATAACCCTTTGTATAAAAATTATAATTTATGAAAGCAAATCAGTCAAACTGTCGTAATCATTGTCACCTGTTATAAAAAGGATTATCTTTACCTTGCCCTGGACGATTTCTAGTCCAAGTCCATCGTTGCCCTGGTTACTGACGGCCAACAGCACCCCATTGGTTTTGCTGGTTCTAAATTCCAACGCTATGGACACATCGAGACCCACTCTGTAGGAGGAGACTAGATAAAAGAGAGATGCAGCGATTATATTCACCTTTTTGAAGAAAATGTAACTTCACAGATAATCCCCAGCATGCATGTGAAATGTCGCCCTGCGATCTCACCTGCTTTCAGGAAGCCGGTGCCTTCAAAGTAAGTGCCCGTCTCTGTGGCAACAAAACATCTTCCCACCATGTGACTGGATGTGGGTGCAGCCATGTCCAGTTTAAAGTCCTCGATGGGCCCCTCAGTGCGTCCTTAGAGGAGACGAGGGTCAAGATCAACAAAAAATACTTTCAAACAACTGCGATAAAATCCCTTTTGTAAGAACCATTACCTGTAGCAGGAGACTTGATGCTCACAGGACCTCCCACCATCTTCAGGTTACGGATGCACCCATTGATACTGTAGAGAATCTAGGAACGAAGAAGGAGGGTACCAGAACACCAGAAGGAAACACAAATGTGATGAAATTTAAAAACGTACTTTAAAACATGTGTTAATTGTGCATGCGTGTGTTTTTGTTACCGGTCCGATCCTCTTAGTGGTGTAGTTCTGAGGTAACCCACCGACATACAGTGTCCCCACGACGTCCAACAGGTCAGCCTGGTGAGAAGAGGAACTTTTAATTATGCTACTTTAAAAAAAATCATTTCTATGATGATTATTTGTATGATTCACTTCATTTATACTAAACTGTATAGAAGATTTCATATGTGCGAGTGCATGCAGACAGAATAAAGAATACATAAGCAGCTGGATGTGTCTCCTGAAGATACCACGACCTGGATGACGGAGGATTTTCAGAGTGAACGTACCTTCTTCGGACTGATCATCTGTTTACTGTATCGTCCATCAACCACGAGAAGACCCCTCTGCTTGTGGCGACTCAAACGGATCTGAGAGGACAAGGAAACAGGACGTAGTTGGAAGCTGTTCATTATTATCATGTTGTTTTTCTTGATTCTCTAATCCACTGTGTAGCTGTTGTTCTTGGTGATGAGCTGCTTTTATTGGATCTGCTTCTTAATCCAAATCTGCACCAAAACAAATGTTAAGATCCAGGAATTCATATTTCACTTTCAGTTCTTCAGGGATAATCAGCTGATATCTGTGTGAACAGTTTGGTATTTGTTTCACAACTGTAGTATATTGTGTCGCTATATACTTTGTTAGGTGAATACCTCTTGATTGGATACACGTAGTTATGGGTAAAACATTTCAACTGTTTAGAACGACGATGTTCCAAATAAACCATTAAGTTTGTCCAACCACTTTTCTTTTTTCTTTTATATTTCCACTATAAGAACTAGATGTACACGTGTAGGATTGTTTGGCCGTGCCAGATGTACGAGTGTCATCGAAGCGTTAATGATTAAATTGTAATTAATTACCTTGTGCCAGGACCCGTCGTTGATGGAGAAGGGAACACAGCCAGATATGTTCCCGTGACCAAGATCGTAACCCAGACAAACATGTCCATCCTTGATCTGCAGGACGAGAGAATCACAGTTGACATTTCTTCTTAGTAGAACAGTTAAAGGCTCTGCGAAGGAAAGACTAAAAACTTTAAGTCAAAAAAAAAGAAGAGGAATAGGGAGGTGATCCTTCCAACGTAACCAAAGCAGTTTCTCTCAGGTACGAGAGCCAATCAAGTCGTATATCAACATGGATTTACCTCAAGAAACAGAGGGTCAGTGGTCATTTTTGCAACAACAGAGCGATGGTGGATACCTGTATGGAAACGTAGTCGGCATGGTTGATTCTCGCCATGTAGAGAACAAGCCCAGACTCCTCCTTCGTCCTCAGCTCAAACTCTAAAATAAGTCTGACACACACACACAAACACACAATGAACAGTGCAAATACACAAGTGAAACAGTTTATATAGACGAGGTAATTCCATATATTAAATTTGTATCCAAGCCCATGTCACATTTGGGGAACACAGGAGATGAATTATAGTTTTAAGTGGGTCGGACAATCGATCACGTGTTCCATCGTTAACAGAAACACAGACTGACAAAACTGCTCAGAGAGAATATCCACGAAATAAATGTTTGATCACCACAACAACCAAAATCCTACTGATCTGTTCCAGCTCATCTAGAGACTTTCAGAGGATCTGTACGGACTTTCTTTCTTTCCTTCCATCAAAAGTTTACAGAACACAAAGGTTGTTTGTGGAGTTGTTGGTCCAGTCAACAACATGTCGATCATTTCAACACATTCTTACTTATTCAGTGAAAATTGTATCTCTGGATTTTAACCTGCCGGTAGAAATGTTATCCTGTCCCAACTATCACTCACTCACTTCTGTTTCCCTTTAATTATTTAAGACTACGCTCCTCGGTGTGAGTCTGAGGATAAAGCCTAACAAGCTTCACACAAACACACACAAACACACACGGGTCAGGATGTGCAATGTTGAGTATGTTGTAACTGACAGGCTCATAGCTGCATCTGTAGTGGTACCTTTACTTCCCTTGAAAAAAAAAACTTTTGTATTCCACAGCTATTTTTAATTACTTTAGTAATTAAGATTTATATAAAAAAAATATCAAATACAACAGCAAAATTAATCAGCTAATAAATCAGTAAAAATACTGTCATTTAAAAAACTAAGGAATAGTTTTTATTACAGACGAACCCATGATATTTTGGGGCAGATCCGGAAAATCCAGATATTAATTTTTCACTTTTTTTGACACTTTTTTAACTTTTTCGTTGATTTCTCAGAGAATAATTCATTGATCTAGATGAAACAATTTTTAGATCTATACGAGTGTTTGCAATTTGGTGCTAATAAAAATCTGAATTTAGTCTATTTAAATCTAATTGATTATTTTTTCCTGAAGAGGAGAGTGTGTCCTTCTTCTTCTTTGTTTGTTAGTTAGCAGGAATTCACAAAAACTTCTTTTGTGGAGGGACAGGTCCTGACCCGAGGAAGAAGCTATTGAATCTGGGAGTTGATCTGTATAAATGGGTGGATCCAGGGCTTTTTTCTCTCAATTTTCTTTATGGCGAGATACGACGTTATCCTTAGCTTCTCTGAGCTCCCTTGCAGCTGAGAAACTTTAAAAGTTTAAGGTGCATTTGCCATGAGTTTTTAAAAGAGAATCTTTTTGAGACTTGTTATATATATGACTCGTATCTATTTATCTATCACCCTTAAATAACTAGAAATCTGCACAAACTTCTCAGTGAAAATCAACAGCTGTGATGTTTCATTCGGAATATTTACCTCTCTCTGACTTTGGCATCGTCAAAGGTGAAGCTCATGTGGCTTTTCCTGCTGAGTCCGAACTGATAGGCCTTCTCCAGCGCCGTCGGGGCCACAGCTGATGCACACGAGTCCTGGAGATTGGACATAAGGTGTCAGTTGCATTGACAGGGTTTCACCACACTGCTCCTGTTGCCTCTTGTCAACAGGAACCTTAACACCGGGGGCCGAATACACGTCAATCAAACTAATAGGGTCTCTGCGTCTGACGTGCAGGGAGCTGACGGGACGGTTGGTCATCGAGGTTGGCCTTAAAAAAAAATACAGCATAAAGTAATGAAGAGCAAACAAAGATAAGTGATTGAAGATTTAACTTTTGCAATAAGTAAATATTGTTCATTTTAAAATGAACCTATGATATATACAAAATAAAACGCTGGGTGATGAAGTCAAACGTGAAATTCCTTGTTTGTGAATATTTCAGACGCAGCATATGGCTCGTTAAAAATCTCTTTGATTGTGATCGACTTTCATCACTGTTTTCTTTTTGTTCTCCATTTTCAAATCACCATCAAACTCTCCCGCGTTTCAATTCCCATGAATCCAGCTCATATTTTCATTTCGTCTGAACCAATCGCAGCGACGACAGTTTGATTCCCGTTTGATTTTCACTTAAATTAACAAGTACAGTGGTGTTTCACAGTGCAGTTCCACCAGTGGCCACACGGTGTTAGTGTTGTAATGCGTCTCCTCTCTTTTTCTTTCCTCTCTCCTCCACCTGCCGCAGCTTCACTCCTCCTCTCACTTCAGTCTCTTCTCCTTTCGTGTCACGTGTGTCCTCCTCTCCTCCCATCTGCTCTTCCTTTCCTCTCCACTGCTTTATTGTCATCTACAGTTTCATTCCCTCACATCTTCTGCACTTTCTTTTTCTCGTCCTAATCTCTGTTGATTCTTCCAACAACTCTTCCTTCATCTTTTCTGCTCCATCCCTTCTTCACATCTTCCTTTCTTCTTCCATCAGTTCAACTTTTCACTGCTCTTCTTAAATACATTTTAAAATCCTGGCTACTCTTCACCTCTCACCCTCTATTTTCCTTTACGCTGATCTACTCCTCTTCTGTTCTTCTTTCTTCCCTTTTTCCATCAGTCCTACTTTTTGTCAAATCATGTTGTCACTTGTTTTTATTTCATCTCATTCTAATTATTTTCCCTCCGTTCATTCTTGCTCTCCTCTTTTTCCCTTCTCCTGTTGCTGCCTCCTTCTCCCTTGTTCTCCACCCCTACACTTCCTTTAACCCTCCTCCCATATTTGTTAAATTTTCTCTCTCCTACCTCTTCTCTTCTTCTTCCTCCGACCTTTTACACCTTGCTGCATCTACTGTCTTCCTTTTCCACGCTCCCTTCACCTTCCTCTTTTATTACTCGCACTCTTCTTCACAGCCGTCCCCTCCGTCCATCACCTTCAGGTGAAGGAAGAGGAGACGGTGCTTCCCTTTACCTCTTTTCCCATTTCTACTTCTCTCTTCATGATATAATAATAATACCATGTGCTCCACTCCCCTCGTTTATACACATTCCCTTGTTCTTTCACCCTTTCTTCCCTTTTCCCCTCTGAATCTACAGTATCAGTTTGACAAAGCTGCTCTGCTGTACCTCCAGTGTGAGTGCGAGACAAAGTTAGAGAGAGAGTGTGTGTGTGTCTTAATCTCCTCTCTCCTCTTGTTCTCTTTCAAGTGAAGACATTCCCCACACCGTGACCTTGCTTTGTTGCCGCTGACACTCACCTCTTATCGCTCTCTGTCCTTATATCTGCTCCTCCTCCTCAACCTCCCTCTTTTTCCTACCCCTCTTTCTCCATCTCTCCCCATCTAACAAAAGGGCCGACGTCACTCGCTCAGAACCCTTTCCTCAAGTCTCCTTTAATTCTTCTCTTCCTCTCCTCCGTCTTTCCATTAAGCCGACAAAAGGCAAGTGGCGCTCTGTGCAGAGAGATTCTCCTCTCTCCCTCCACGGCTGCACCTTTTCTCTCAGCCCCTCTCTGTCTTCTAGCCTCTTTCATCCGCCTCTTCCTCTCTCCCTTCCTCTCATCCCCCCGAGTCTTTCCATTAAGCTTACAATAGGAAAACTGACTTCCATTCAGAGTGGCTAGTGTCTGGTTGGAGGTCACACCAATACAATCTGAAGTCATTTAGTGGAGATTTTGTGTGTGTGTGTGAGTATAGGTGAGGCCAGTGTGTGTGTGTGTGTGTGTGCTCTTGGAGTCCCTGCTCTGCTTATTGTATTTCAGCTTTCAGACTCTATTGGCCTCTGACAGTAACTAACCTCTGCCACTAATACTTTACTGCTCAGCTCATTTTAAGACCTTGAACATCAGCACATCACTTAATAGTGTTTCACACTTTAGTTTTGATTTTAAACTACAAACGCTCACGGCAACTTGACCTGAATCAAGATCCAAAAGAGCCAAGTTAAAGCTTAAAGGGCAAAGTGTGTCATTTTTACAATAAGCACTTGAAAAAGATGTAGCTATGATTTGGGTCAGCGGCTGAAATGACCAGGGTTCTCCTTTGTCATTAGAACTTATAAAAGAAACTCTTTCTCACGGCACTTGGAAAAATATCTTTTAGCTCATACACTTCTATGTTATATCATAAAAGTTTTGGTTATAGCTCTCACCGCTCGACTCTATGCTGGCACCAAACAGCAGGCAGACAAAAAGTAAGCTAACTGGTGAGTGCAGCATTTAGTTGCTTAAAGGTTCAGTGTGTAGAGTTTAGTGACATCTAGTGGTGAAGTTGCGTGTTGCAGCTGAATAGCCCCTCACCTCACCCTCCCTTTCCAAACATGATTCCTTTCACCCAAATCTTACACACTGGACTTTTAAGTGTGAGGCGACAGTGGTCGATTGTTCAGGAATCAATACTTGGATGTGACCGTATTGAACTGTGTGTGTGTGTGTGTGTGTGTGTGTGATTGTGTGTGTGTGTGTGTGTGTGTGTTTGTACCAAGTCGTCGCTGGGGTCCTGTTTAGGGGGCAGGGCAGTAGCAACAGCAGGTATGGTAGCAGGCAGAACAGGGGGCGTGGCCTCCTGCAGGTCAGCAGTCAGGAAGTCGGGAGGGAAGTGGATTAGTGGCGGAACATACGACCAGAAGGGCGACAGTTTAATTCACCAGCACACATCAACTACAGGCAGGTAATGATGCTGAGAAGGTGAAAGGTCAAAGACAGTGAAGGACCGAGGTCTGCACCAACAAGGTTTATGACTTTGATTGTTTACTTTAGAGCTGTAATTACATATGACATACATGTACGTACATCCTGTCATCATCACCTACATGGGTTGTGTCCACCTCTACTTGACTCTGTTTGGTTTGTCAACAGGCGTAAGTCTGACATTGGTTTGTCATAAAATTCGGCAGGTAACAGTCTTTCTTGAACGGACAAAACAAATGGTGCCTTTTTTGACCAGATAAATTAAATGAAATGTTACATTAACCACAATTTTATTAAAAAGAATTACAAGAACCGAAGATGAAATTAAATTGACTTTAGAAACTTAAATGCTGCAGCAAAGACTACAGACAACAGACGCTAGTTTTAATTGTAATGCAACCCACTATTTCAGCACTCGAATTACAGTTTGCAGGGGTTTCATGGGAATTAAAAAAAAAATTAAGTTGATGCTGTTTGAAATCATTTGGGGAACACTGCCCTAAAATCTTAAAAATAGCATTACGAAAAAAGTCTTATAACAGTAATGAATTATGTATTAACCAAGGAACACTACATGAATCTATAAATTCAAAGTTGCTAGAAGAGTTTGAATTGTATAACAGCGGTTTAGAATATCATCTGATTAACGTAGTATTATGTTTCAATCTTTCATAAATATCAAATAAAGATACGCACACTGTTTTATAAATATCTTACATTTATCTCTGAAGGCTGGTGAGACATTAGCTTCCTCGCTATAAATTGTCGGGGCTTGAATATAGAGCTATTCACTATAGGCCTGAAAAAGGTGAATTATAAGAGGAAGTCAGCGAGTGTGAAGGGTTTGAAATATGCAGCCTACCTTCGGCTTCAGTTAGAATGTAGATGGCGGCTGAGAAACTATGACTTTGCACAGCCTGGGCTCTATATCATAAGGCGGATGAACTTGCAGCCCATAAAGCAACAAACCCCAGAGTTATAGCAGAGCTGCCATCGCCCTGTGCTTCATGATCAATGTCCTTTTAGAGGCGCAGTTTAGCAGGTAACTGGGTGACTGATAACCTATGACTGCCGTAAGACCTGTAATATATTCAATCTGGGAGATATACCTCGCCTACCCCAATAAGTGTGAAATGAATGACTCGCCGCCTGCCAGCCTCTTTGCATAGTGTCTCGATGTTAGCCCAGAGTGTTTTGGCACCTGTGAGCCCATAAAGCATTAAATGGCATGCACAGTTAGCCTGGCGCAGCGCGGTGGCTCCGCACTGTATGACAAGCTGCCAGAGGTGGAGTTTAGTAGCTCAAGGCTAAAGGGACTATAAAGAAAAGTTAATGGGCTGTTCAACTGCCGCGTGATGAAACGCTATGCTAACACGCCGAGGCCACGGCTGCATTTCATCACAGAGAAGCAGGAGTGTGTTTGTGTCTGTGTGAGGAAGAGGGGATAAAAAATATGCTGCAGTAGGACATGTGTGCACATCTGTAAACGTCTGCACGTCTGTTTTACGGTGCCTAATGTACATGTGCTGCCAAAACAAAGCTAATGCCCGTTATATTACTGTAACTAAAGACCCGTAATCTATGAAACATTAAATTAACAATTAAACCAACACCAACAAAGGGCTAGTGGTCTAAGTGCTTTGTGTTCCCGTGTTAGTTTGATCCACTTACAGCAGGAGGCCCCGGAGTGGGTGTAACAGGGTCTGAGGTCAGTGGAGGACCAAGTGGCGTCGACTCCTCCTTCTCCTTCTCGGGCTCCTCTTCACCCGGCAGAGGAGGCAGAGGTGGCGGGGCGAGGTTGGGGCACTGACCGATCTCCGCATTCACAAAGGACACAGGCAGGGAGAAGTCGGACAGACTGAAAGGTGGACAGAGTAATTTTAGTGTCAAAGATGTTTGACAATGGGAGGAAGTAGAGACACGTCGTCCATCTTTATGTACGGTCTACGGTCTGAACACATCGTGAGGGTCAGAGTTCAGGGCCACAGTGCACTGACAAGGTCTCTTTTACAATCGTACGACCAAAGCGAGAGCTACTTGAGAGAAATAAAAACAACAACATACGATACAAATAAGGTTTACTCCCACAGACTGAACACACAACTGTATGAAAGCCCACTGACAGGTGTATGTTAAGAAGAAGTTACAGTTATGGTGTGGTGGGGCGACAGAGGTGAAATGAGGTGAGCGATAACAAACAGACACAAACATAAACACACAGACATAAGAGAGGAGTGTAATATGAGTTATGAGAAGGTTTATGATGTTGGACAGCTTCATTACTGTTGTGGAGATGATCATCATCATCAAACACATCATCATGACCTCCTGCAGTCGTTAACTACGCTTCGACCCGACTGTGTATGGGGTCAGAATTAGGCCTGTCGTCCACTGCCAGAAAACAGACAGATGATTGGACAGGGGAGCTGCAGCTGTCCTGTGTGAGCGCTGCTGCAGAAAGTTTTAAGGGGAGTATTTTGAGTTTCTATTCTAAAGGAAATTGAAGTTAAGAAACCTGGAGCTGGAGCTGAGAGAATATTCTGACGTGAAAAGATCACTGTTGTTTTGGCCCATTCATCTTGTGATGTAAGAACCGCTCTACACTGCTGATAAAATCAAAAACAAATAATCTGGTTATTTCAAATTCTTCTTTGGGCGAATCAGATCACAGCACAGTTTGACAGGTCTGCAAGGATGCTGTGTTATTTGTCACAACAAAATCTAGCAGGTTTTTACTGAGACTCTAGAAGTTTGGGCCGTTGAGCCATATAAAATTCACGATGAGTGTAAAAACATGCAGATAAGAGGGATGAATATTTATAGTAATATTTATGCTGTTTAATTTAGTAAAATTTAAAAACTCTGCCCAAGTACCACAAACTGACAATCACTAGTCCAATATCTTTAGTATCAATTAATGGGCTGATCATTTAGGTTTAAAAATGTGCAGAGAGAGAGAAAACATCATTGTTTAACATTTATACTTCTTTGCTGTTTTTACTTCATCCAGTTTAGATTAGTGCTACAGAAATAAGGTTTATTAATTTAATTTAATTATTATTATTTATTATTATAAAGCCTTAAAATGTATTATTTTGTCTCAGCTACAAAAAACAAAGATATTTAATTTACAAACAAAGAAAAGCATCAACTTTAACAAGGGAATCTTTGGTATTTTTGCTTTGTACTCACTGTAGCTGTATTTTAATTTCAAGAAAGATGCTATAGATATTATAGCTCCCTGTTACACCTGGCTGTCTTTGGATATTTGTACGTACACAGCGTTGATCATGAGGTTCCATATGCATCCTTGGAATGGGACGTTGGCTCTGTTGGACGTCTGCTCCACTTCTGCAGGAATACCACCGAGGAAGATCTGCTGCAGGGTCACTGGTTGGTCGTTGGGAAGCGTTGCCTCCCTCTTCGCCTCCTCATCAACCTGAACCACAAAGGACCTGAGAATAAAAACACACATGTTGCGTCTCAATAACTTTAGATGACTTTACATTCAATTGAAGGAAGCAGAAACGTATAGTGAACAAATACGATATACGAACACCAACCTGCCAGCCAGCCTCTCTATGCGCAGTGAGTGCTCCTTCCCATCATTCAGTGCTCCTTGCTCAGGTCGTCTGATGACACGTCGCGGACTGTGGCTGCCGGTGAACACCAAAACCTCCAGAGAGCCTTTGTTCAGCATGACTGAGAGGTAGGGCTGCAGGAGACAGAGGCAAAGTTCATTAGCTGCAGAAAAGCTGCAGAAAAAGTTTGTCACCGTAACACCAAGAATAGACGTGCATCAATTTTCAAATTGCTGCTGGCATGACTGGACTACATGACCACAGTAAATTTAAGCAACTTCACAGAGACGAACACGTAACGACCGTACGAACACAGCCAGCGGAACATTGTGTTTGGCTACCTGATCATCATCAAAAAAATTTAAATATAATGTTTACGAGCATCAAAATGAAAATCAACCCAATCCCATTAATTAATATGTTTGCTTGTTCAGTAGAATCATATTGTTTCTCTTAACTTAATGCAATTTATTCAACATTTGTCAGGAAGAGGAGAGGAAGAAAAAAGAAGGACCATTGGGAGAAAACAGACACGATGTGAAGGGAGGAGAAAAGACAAATAGAACGGAGGAGAGACGGTGGATTAAAAAGAAGAGAAAAGGGGAGATGAGTGAGGGTTGAGGGGAATACAGAGATAAACTGGGGGGAAATGAGAGAGGCAGAGAGAGGAAAGGATAACAAGAGATGAGAGGAACAGAGAGGAGAGGATAATAGGGGGAAGAGATGAGAGGGCAGAGAGCAAAGCAGAGAGACAGAGATGGGGAGAGAGAGAAAGAGGGAGACAGACAGAGAGGTGCTGGAGAGCAGTGGTGCAGGGTCAGGCTAATTTGAATTTTAATTCACTGTGTGCCAGAGGGCGAAGTGGGAGACAATTTACCACCTGAAAATGGAATTTCAATTTGAGGTCGGGGACAAATTGAACTGAGATGTAGCTACAACATGCCTCTCGCTCTGCCGTCTCTCGCACACACACACACACACACACACACACACACACAGATACAAAGGCACATGCACACACAGGGAGGTGCACAGCTGCAGACACGTGTCGCACATACAGAGGCGTACGATCACGCATGAACTGACACGTACCTTTACATACTGAAGGAAAAGATGCACAGAGACACACACACACGTAGAAAAGCAAATACGCAGCAGAGCGTGGAGCTAACAGGCACGAAAACACACATTTACATGCACTCACATATGTTCATGAGAAAATCATCATGTGCAACATTCACACAAAACACACACACAACTCAGCTAGCTTCACTAATCTGACTCCTTCAAAGTAAAGCACTAAAAGAAACACTGAAACCAGTAAAAATGTGTTGTTTGATCTAAGTGAAACTGCAGCGACAAGAAACAAACAACAAATAATGTCTGCCTGTAATAATATGCAGAAGTTGTGACAACTTCATCACATCGAATTTTGTTGGAAATACTTTAACACTGGTTGTCAATTTGTGTTTTTGTAAATTGCAACTGAACTTTTTCGAAATGTCTTTGCTTCGTTGTTCTGAATTTATAGAGTAGTACTGAGTCAATGGGTAAAATTATCAATAGTGAAGACAGTGACTGATTAATCTGCTGAAAAACAACTGAAAATACTGGATAAAAAAAAATCTTGAATCTTCTTTTGCTTGTTAAACTTTTGCGATGATTCAAGCTGTTAAATCTGGTTTCTGAAGCTGCAGCAGCTTTGAGCCTCTCTCTATATAAAGAGGCTTCTTCTGAGGATATGGAAACTTTATTTCACACTCAGATCTTCTTAAGTCTTGATATTTTATATGATGAGCATTTCTACATAAAATCTGTTCTTTCCTCCCTCATCTTTTCTTCTGCTCACTGATATCTTTTATTCCCTTATTCTGCTCCAAGTTTCTTTCCCTCTTTCTCCTTGTCTTTTTATCTGTGTCCTCTGTTTATTCTCTCCATTCTGCCGACTATCATACCCTCCCCATCTTTGCATTATTCCCCTTCTCCTCTATCCTCACATCACTTCTCTCCTCAGCTCAGCTCTTTCTTCTCTATCCTTCCTTTCACCTCTAAATCTCCCTCCTCCATCCCTCCATCCTTTGTCTTCTGTCTCCGTCTCTCTGTCCCTCTCTAAAACATCCATTAGTCAGGGCCAAGTTGAGTTGATGGTGTTTTTAACCTCGCTTAACCTTTCTGCACGCGCACAGAATCACACAGAACCACACACACACACACACACACACACACACACACACACAC